AAGAAGATGAGAAGGAACCAGCAGAAGAGATTAAAAAGCAGACCATGAGACTAAGAGTGTGGTATTCCTGAAGCCAAGTGAAGAGGAGTTTCAAGAAGAAGAAGTGGATGTCTGTGACAAATGGAGCTGAGAGTTAAGATAGGATAGTGAAGTAACCACAGAATGGAGCAATATGGTGGTCACGGAAGACCTTGGCAAGAACAATTTCTGTATATTGGGGAATCAAAAGCCTGATTGGAGTGGGTTTGAAAAAGGGAATTGGAGGAAAGAAAGTGGAGACAGAACGTCACACGCCTCTTTCAAGGAGTTTGCAGAAAGAAAGAAAGAAAAAATACTGGGCGCAGGAACTAAAAGGGGATACTGGGTCAACAGGAGGTGTAGAGGAGAGACTGTTCCATGATGTGACAACTGCTGGATATGTGAGCTGGACGCAGGCCATAAAGGAGATTGCTTTCTGTAAACACCCGCTTTAGATGCTGTGTCATCATGATCGATGTTCAATTTAACATGAAATCAGCACCTTTCCCCGTGCTTCCCATCACAGGCTGGTTCCGGGACTTTGTCTGGACCTGTTCAAGGATGCAAACTCACTTCCCATATCTGGTGGCATTCACATACTGGTATCCTTGACTCTTCTCCCTTTTGCCCTATATAACCTTTGGCACCTGTCAAGTGGCGTGGGGATCCATTTCATCTTGTAGCCGCCCAAGGTACGCCTCGGACGTGAGTTTCNGCGGAACTGCGCCCCGGGCCACTGACCTGTCAGGCCCCACCGCCTTAAGTCCTGCTCCTGCACCCGCGCCCGCGCCGCCTCGGCTCCGCTCTGGGTCTGAAGAGCCAGCAAGGAGTTGGGCATGTTGGCCCCGCGGGTCCCGGCGTCCGCGCGCTCCATCCGGCCCGGAGAGGCTCCGCCCCGCGTCCGTCCGTGCGTTTCCTTCTTCCCGACGCGCGCGGCCGCCGGGGTGTGAGCCCTGCGGCGCGAGTTCCGGACGCGAGGCAGTGCTGCGGGTCACCTTCGGGTGTCCCCCGGGTTTTCCTGCAGCTGGGTGCACGCGGGGCGGCTGGGTTCTCACTCCCGTGCTTGTGGTTGTGCATAGGCGCGCTCTACGCCCGTCAGGGAGTCGGCATGTGCTCGTCACTCACTTATTATGGAATCAAATTGGCTGTCACGTGCCCGGTACTGTGCTAGGCTCTGGGGGTATAGATAGTTCAGTTAAGACATCGTCCCTGCTCTCCAGCGATTCACAGCAAGATTGTAAAGGCTGGCGTGCTCGGTTCAGTTTACAATAGGAATACATTGGTTCAGGCCCTGAGATCCTCCTAACTTACTCCCTGTTGGCTGTAGGTTGTAGTTAGGAACCTCTCAATGGCAGTAAATAAAAGTGACTAAAGATGTCATTGCCACAATGGATTTCTCAAGTGAATTATGGGGAGCAATGTGTTAAGATTAGGGGTCACCATGACTCAACACCAATACAAATAGGATAATAACCAAATAGCTGCATTTATTGATGGAGTTCAAGGTGCTGCCCTAAGACCTGTTTGTGGACGTTATGTTAGGTTTACGGCTCCTTAACAAAACTTGCACAAAAGATTTTCGTTCCAGAGACCTTATGACCAGACCTGGGACTGTCTCTCAAAGGGAGAGATCAGCCCCTAAGTCTTGGTGGGTAAGGAATTTATAGCTGAAGCTGGATACAGAAGCAAAAAAAAGCAGTTAGTGTGTAAAAATGAAAAATGGTTAGTTTATCTTATTTTAACAAACTATAAAACATAGTTAGGTTATTATTTTTAACGAGCTAATACATAACTTGCTTATCTTTTTGACGGGCTATAAAACATGACTTGTTTAACTTTTCCTAACAAGCTACCCAACTAATCTTTTCCCTAATAAGTAAGCTATAAAGCATACCTAGTTTATCTTTTCCTATTCTCTTGACAAGATACTTTGTTAACTTTTGCTGAAGCAGAAGTTTCTTTCATTCCTCTGGGCGGGGGCCCTAGCCTAGGGTCTGGGCCTGGGTCCCTACAGTTATGTTCCAGTTTATGTTAGGTCTCTTGACTTAATGTTAGGCCTGTGAATGTTAGGTCTCAGAGACCTTGACTTACAGACAGAGCCATGTCTGCAAGAAAACAACAAAATGTCTGTTGCCTTCACCTGCAGACAGAGCCAAACTTGTGAAACAGAAAATGCCCCAAAACAGCTACTGGCATACAGGCAGTCAGAATTCTCTGTTCAAACAATGCTTCCATGTTGGCACCGACCCTATATAACCCTCCTCACCCCCTCCCTCGGCGCTGCAAGTCTCCTTCAGACGTGTAGCCCGGGCTGTAGCCATCTTTCCTCAGCCTGATAGTCTCTCTCTTAATAGAATTGCTTAAACTTTCTTAACTTGCCTGACTCTGCACGTTCCTTTACCAGGCAACCTATCAGTTTAATTCTCACAGCAGCCCTATAAACAAGTACTATCACTGTCCCCACATTATAGATGAGGAACCTGTGACTTAGAATGGTAATTGGAAAAGCTGGAACAGGAACGTTATTTGCTCTCTGGGTTATGTCATCAGAATACTATTCCCATTTAGGGTAATCTGGGTGCTTCCATCTTCAGTAAATTCAGATTAAAGTTGCACTTTCCCCCATCCTCACCTAACCTTAAAAGGGAGAAATTAGTTGTGAGCTACAAAAGAGATGACTTAGGTTAATTTATTCATAAAAACTCAAAAACAGCACTGGTTTGTGAAGCTCATTTGATGCCTTGAGTCATTCTGTAAATACTG